GAGAGACGAAGATGAGGAAGAAAGAGAGAAGAGAGAGAGAGAGAGAGAGAGAGAAGAGAGAGGAGAGAGAGAGAGAAGAGAGAGAGCAGAGGAGAGACAGAGAGACAGAGAAGAGAGAAAGACTCTATGGTTCGTCTCTCGCGCCGTTGTCTCCAGCAGGAGTCCTTGGTGCCGCGTGAGTGCCATAGAATCCGCCAACAAAGCCAATGCTGTGCTGTGAAAGAGGGAGGGGTTAGGTATTCTCGGAACAACCAACAACTACTACTACTACTACTACTCTACTACTACTATACTACTACTACTAGACTACTACTACTATACCTACTACTTACTACTACTGACTCACCAACTACTACTACCTACTACTACTACTACTTACTACACTACACTACTACTACTACTACTGACTACTAGCTACTACGACACTACTATACTTACTACGCTATACTACTACTACTATACGTACTACTATACTACACTACTACTACTAACTACTACTACTACTACTGACTATACTACTTACTACTACATATTACTACAACTAACTAGTGTAACAACTACTACTACAATACTAGGTGTAACAACTACAACTACTACTACAACGACAAAAACAACTACAGCTACTACTAATACTGCTACAACGACAATAACAACAACAACAACGAAAACAAAAACAACAACAAAACGATAAGGATTCGAACCGAGTGGAATGAGTGCGCTCGCGCTCAATCTACTTGCTCTTTTGTGAGGCGCTGCAGCGGCCCGTGCCTCGTCTTCGGGCTCGAGTGTCTGCACCACCTGTGGGTTTTAGGAAAGTGACTGTGTCGTAAGTGGGTGGTGGGGTTGGGGAGTTGAGTTGAGTGAGTGAGTGTTTGGTGTGTGAGGGAGTGAGTGTTCGTGAGGTTTGGGTGTGAGTGATGGTAATGGGGTGTTTGGTGTGTGCAGTGAGTGAGTTTTTGGGTTGGGGGTAGTGAGTGAGTGAGTGAGTGATCGAAGTGTTTGGGGTTGTTTGGGGTGTGTGGTGAGTGAGGTGATGTGAGTGATGAGTGACGTGAGTGAGTGAGTGTTTGGGGTGAGTGAGTGAGTGATGAGTGTTTTGGTTGAGTGAGTGAGTGGGCGGAGGTGTTAGGGTGTTAGTGTTACGTTGTGAGGGTGAGTTAGTGAGATGATGTGACGTGAGTGAGTGACGTGAGTGAGCTTGAGTGAGTGAGTGAGTAGGTCAAGGAGTTGAGTGGTAGTGATGAGTGAGAGAGAGAGAGAGAGAGAGAGAGGAGAGAGAGAGAGAGAATAGAGAGACAGACAGAAGAAATAGACAGAAGGCCAGACAAGAGACAGACAGAAGACAGACAGACAGACAGACATATAGACAGAAGAACAGACAGCACGGGAATCAACAGAATGGTTCAAGAACTTCCTTTATAATGATTGTATGTTCTTTATATAACGGGTATGTCTGTTGTTCATTTACATAGTTTATAAATGTGCCAATCAAAGAAAGTCGGAGACATGAAAAAAACAAGAATGAGAGAGGAGAGACGAGAGAGAGAGAGAAGAGAAAAGAGAGAGGAAGAAGAAGAAGACGAGAGAGAGCAGAGAGGAGATAGGCAGAGAAGAAGAGAGGAGGAATAGAAGGAGAGAGAGCGACAATCGATAAAGAGAAAGAGACACCGCGCGCCCCGGAGCAGCAAGTCCTCGGAAACCTACATCTCGCACCACATCATATCACCGTTTCCCTCAGCCCCCTCCTCTCTCTCTCTCTCTCTCTCTCTCTCTCTCTCTCTCTCTCTCTCTCTCTCTTCTCTCTCTCTCTCTCTCTCTCTCTCTCTCTCTCTCTCTCTCCTCTCTCTCTCTTCTTCTCTCTCTCTCTCTCCTCTTCTCTCTCTTCTCTCTCTCTCTCTCTCTCTCTTTCTTTCTTTCTTTCTCTTCTTTCTTTCTTTCTTTCTCTCTCTCTCTCTCTCTCTCTCTCTCTCTCTCTCTCTCTCTCTCTCTCTCTCTCTCTCTCTCTCTCTCTCTCTCTCTCTCTCTCTCTCTCTCTCATCTCTCCTCTCCATCTCTCTTCTTCTCTCTCTCCCTTATCTCTCTCTCTCTCTCTCTCTTCTCTCTCTCTCTCTCTCTCTCTCTCTCTCTCCTCTCTCTCTCTCTCTCTCTCTCTCTCTCTCTCCTCTCTCTCTCTCTCTCTCTCTTCCCCCGTCCCTCCCTCTCTCCCTCCCCTTCCCTCTCCCTCTCTCCCTCTCTCTCCTCTCTCCCTCTCCTCGTCCCTCTCCCTCCCTCCTCCCTCCCCGAAAACACACTGTTTACGGGAATCTGTGTACTGTCTGCGGGCACCGGTTGTGGAGCTGCCAATATCGGAAACCAATCAGCTGTTTTGAGTCCAACCCTTTCATGGCCGCGCGTGTTTGTGTGACCTGGGATACGCCCGCGACCGGGCCTTTGTACGCTGTCGTGTCCGTCGTTGTTGTTGTTGTTGTTCTTGTTTGTCGTGTTGTTTGTCGTGTCGTTGTTTTGTGTTGTTGTGTTGTGGTGTTGTGGCTGTTGTGAGTGGTGTGTTGTTGTTTTGTTGTTGTGTGTTGTTATTGTGTTGTCGTTGTTGTTGCTTGTTGTTTCGTGTTGTCTTGTTGTGTTGTTGCGTTTGTTGTTATTGTCGTTGTTGATAGGGATTTTATTTTTTTATGGAATTTTATCGCATTATTTCTGGTATTGACGTATAGTATATATTTTTTAGATTCTCATTAGCTACTTTGAGAACATCAAATTTGAAATATTTATGGAAATGAAGACGCGTCATTGGAAAAAATTATGACAAAGATGATGATGGTGTTGATGTTATTGTTATTATCTTTATTGTTATCATTAGTGTTATTATTATGGTTATTATTTTTTTTTATGTTGCTGTTATATTATGGTGCTTTACTCATGCATGTGTGGTGTGCGCGCGCGCGTGTGTGTGGTTGTTGTTTGTTTGTGGTGTTTGTGTGTGTGTATGCGTGCGTGTGTGTGGTGTCTAACCTACCATATATACAGTACATACATACATACACACACACCACAGCACACACACACACACAACACACAGCACACCACACACACACACACACACGCACACACACACATCACACACAGCACACACACACGGCACACACACCCACACGCACAACACACACACACACACACACCACACACACACACCACACACACACACACACACACACACACACACACACACACACACCACACACACACGCACGCACGCACCACCCCCCCCACACACACACACACGCACGCACGCACGCACACATAGAAAAGGGGTGGGGAGTGTGACACTTAGGGTCCGGAGTGACAAAGGAGGAGGAAGTGGTCACCTTGAGCGCAGGCAGTGAGCTGGTACAAACATCGCCGGGCGTCGTCTGGCTGCCGCCGTTCACATACGCCACATACGGAAGGGGCGCGGTGTACGGATGTTGGGGTTTCCTGGTATCAGTTGTTTTGTGAGTCACGCTCGCTCACCGCATGCACGTGCAATTACGAACACGCGCACGGCCGGCACGTACATGCTTCATATATGTAGTATATATTATTATTTGCGTACATATAATGGTCTACATATATACATTCGTACATATTTAGATTCGTACATACATACATACATTAAAATGCAACATACCATACATACATACAGACATGCTATAATTATTACACACGCATACATACATACATACATAGATACATACATGCACACACACAACACACACAACATCATACACACGGATACACATAGATGCACACACGAGCACACACACAGCACACACACAGCACCATCACGCACACACACACACACACACACACTACACACACACACACACACACACACACACACACCACACCACCACACACCACACACACCACACACTACACACACACACACACACACACAGCTGCAGTTAAATGCAACAAAAAGTGCCAACATTTATTAACATTTTATTAATTCATTTGAATATTCATGTGGATGATTCACCAACGTTATTCTGAAAATTCCTGACAATACATTTTAATTGGAAAATGAGAATTGACACAATTAGACTTAATGCAGATATTAAGACAATTAAGGTCAAGATATGAAAGTGTAATTAGAAGGTAATGGAATATAGATACAGCAGATTAGGAGAGCAAAATATTCAAAACCCCCTTTTTTTTTTTTTTTTTTTTTTTGGACATGGTATTGGTGAATATTTGGGTCTTGTATCTCATCCAATGACGATGGAATGGCCTGGTGGGAAAAGGATATAGATGGAGAGTGAAGACCCAATATAGGTGGAACACTTGAGATCAAGTTCCTGTATTTTCATCGTATATGTAGATTTTGCCATAAAACCTTTTTATACAGCAGATGCCTGCGCTGGCGGAATTTTATGGGGATATTGCACGGTGCATTGGATCAGTTGCTCTCTCTTCCTTTCTTTCTTTTTCTTTTTCTCTCTTTCTTTCTTTCTCTTTCTTTCTTTCTTTCTTTCTTTCTTTCTTTCTTCTTTCTTCTCTCTTTCCTTCTCTCTTCTCTTCCTTCTTCCTTTCCTTCTTCTTCCTTTCCTTCTTTCTTCTTTCCTTCTTTCTTCTCTTCTTTCTTTTTTCCTTCTTCTCTTCTTCTTTCTTTCTCTTCTTCTTTCTCTCTCTCTCTCTCTCTCTCTCCTCTCTCTCTCTCTCTCTCTCTCTCTCTCTCTCTCTCTCTCTTCTCCTCTCTCTCCTTCTCCTCTCTCTCTCCTCTCTCTCTTCTCTCTTTCTCCTCTCTTCCCTCTCTCCTACTCCCTCTATTCTCTTCTCTCACTCTCCTCTGATCATTTCATATGAGATAAACATTAAAATGACTGCTATGTTAAACAGTGAAAGAAAGTTTGGCCAGCCTTTTATTATAGAACTAGATATTTTACAATAAAAAGATCTCTAAAATTGTATTTAAAGATTAAAATTTCTATCACAGAATTGTATCTTATATATATATTTTTTTACAGCTCTGTCTGCCGCGTGGGTTGCAGTTCCGGACTCAGAAACATGTACTGGAGCCCAAATTCCACCCCTTCCTCGTCACCAAGGAAGATGGCTCGCGGGCACATGGCTTTGCATATGTGTTCTATGAAGAGGTCAACTCAAAGCAGATATGCACTGCCATGCACACTTTACAAGTGAGTTGTTCTGCAATTACAATATTTTGAGTTTTTTTTTTTACATTGGTGATTCTCCAATATCATAAATACATAGGCTGTAAGTTCAGTTTTTTCATTCACGTTAACCTTTTCAGTCTGTGTACTTGACGGAGATGTCAAGTAGCCATGCCAAAGCAGCATCAGGAGCAACTCCAGACAAAAGAGACACAAGATCTCTGCCTCGCCAGTTCCGTCTGTCAGCTCCTAAGTCACCAGCTGCTCTCCACTTCTATGACATAACGAAGGATCAGCTGTATGTCACAAAATGCATTGCCCTTGTTGGACAGCACCCATATGTAAACTCTGCCAAAAAATTTCTTAAAGGTCTATATAGGTAAGTTTCTCTTTCTTTATTGCAAAGAATTGATAAGTGATTTATCTACTTATATATGGTTGTTAGTTCTTTATTGCAACAAATCAGTGACATTCTTTTCTGAAATATAATAAAAGATGATACATCTTACATATGGTTATTATTTCTATAAACACCACCTTACTATATTTCAGGTTTTTCATACAGTGTGAAAGTGGAGGTGTAAGTTTAGAGTCTCATGTATACAACTTGCTCTACGAGGTGCCAGCACCGCCCCACGGTCGATGTGTGGCATTTTCCTGTTTTGGGAAGATGCAGGTGTGTCAGTGCCCCACCAGTCAGGAGCTTCCATTGTTTGTGGTAAGTGAATATGTTGCCGTAATTGCAGTGAGTATAATTTACATACCTGTTCCTTGTAACCTGAAGTCTGTATTGTGGAATAGAAGTTTACCTACAATGGTTAGGGAATAAGGATAACTTTACTGAATTGCTGTGGTATAGATACTGGTTTGTAAGGAATTATTATCCTATGCATAATATACTCTTAGAAGTTGCTTATAGTTAAAGATGCAGTTAAAGTGGGCTTTTTAATGCTAATTATCAGTAATGCAGCTTGTGACAAAATGTTTATTTGCTGCTTGAAATTTGTAATGCACAAGGGGTATTTGTGATTCAACAATTTATTTTTTTTCCTTTCCAGTACTCCTTGAAGGAGTTCTTCACAGTCCTCAATGTAGAAAGTGTTGTACAGCTTCTTACATGTGTACTGCTTGAAAACCAAATTATTCTAGTGTCTAGTGGTAAGTAATTTACGCTTCAGTTTATTTCGTATGTTAACCTCATAAAATATGTAATAGGTATGTCATTTGTTAGTGATTAGTAATATCATTAGCAATTCCAATCCGCAAAAATATATTTTATAAAGTGATTGATTGATGAATACTTTTGAAAAAAACATATGACCATAAGAATGTATCAGTCAATTTTCTTTCATTCTATCAGATTACTACAAGTTGATGCTGGTCGCGGAGAGTATATGTGCGCTGATGTTTCCGTTTGTTTGGCAACACGTTTATGTGCCAATCTTACCTGCCTCTCTACATCACTTCCTTGATGCCCCGGTGCCTTTTATCATGGGCCTGCAGTGCTCCAACGACTCAAGGGATACAATTCAGATCCCAAATGAGGTTAGTTACAATATTTCATTTTTACTTAATGGTAAACAGTAAAACATTATCAGTGAACAGTACGAAGAGTTCTTATATTGTCACCTTAGAGGTATGAGACGTGAAGTTTCTTATATATAACATTCTCTGATGATATGGCAATGTTCTATTCTCTCATAATGTGGAAATTCTCTAGGCAAACCTGTGTTTGGTTGATGTGGATGAAGGCACCGTAGAAGTACCTGAAGATCTTCCTCAGTTTCCTCACAAAGTAGACTTCATTCATGAACTCACACAATTACTTTTAAAGTGGGAAGTTCCAGCTGGTAAACTGGATAGGTAAGTGTGTAATGTTAGCAGGAATATTCAGGTAAAATATGTAATTGTTTTATATGCCTTATAGCCTGTGATCTCTTAATGATATTTGTCATCATACATTAATAGATAACAAATATTTCACAGGAACTTGAACGAGCATCACTCTCAGTACAAGTACCGCAGGAGACGGAAGTGCTCCTGGTCCCACGACTCGGACTCGGGCGTGTCCAGCACAGAGGGATCCATCAGTGGGTCTCACTCCTCCATCACTTCCCTCCCTCCTTCTTCAGTAGCTTCTTCCACCTCCCCTGCACAAGGTCCCCCGAGTAGTAGCAGAAGTCACCATTTTGACACCCTGCACCTTTCACCACAGCTTAGGGAAATAACAGCAATTGCACGGAAGGCCGGTGAGTGGCCGTAACATTTCCAGGAGACGGAGTGGCAAGTTCATGAGCCGTCTTAGATATTTGTTCATTTGTGTTGTTTAGCATGAGCATTTTCTTATCCTGAATTTTGTTCAGGTTATGTGAAGTTTATTATTATTATTTATTAGAAAATAAATCAACGATAATGCTAAAGATATGTATTCTAGTATACAATACATCTTGGAATGGTTTCATATTATCATTTATTGTTTTATTTATAATAGGATTATCCATCATTAAATAATATGACATTGTTCTTTTTCTCGATATTTGACATACAGGTGTATATGACGGTGAAGAAGTTGATGGAGTCAGACGGGAGCGAGAGAACGAGATGTTAGAGGACCTCAAGCTTAACAATGCTGTCCGAGAAGTGTTCCTCAATAGATTTGTCCACATGTTTTGTGCCTATGACCATTTTGTCATTCAGCCAAATTGTCATGTTAGTATTTGACCTTTGTATATGATCTGTGCAAGCTCTATTCATGTTAAGTAGATGAATATACACATCAGAAAGTCATTGTTTCTTATACATATAAAGTTACACTTTATGATGGCTTTATATTTTTAAATAATTTCTGATACGAAGGATAGATCTTTATATTAGTTGAGAAAGAGATTATGAAGTGTTCACAATATGTTAAAGGCTCTTAAGTAGGCCTATGTTACTGTAGCTCTGTTTGTATAAAGTTGCATTTAGCATTAATTTCCTGTTTCAATTCCGTAGGAAATGGACATGGAGCAGTGGCTTAGTTGTCGGGAATCCATGCAGAACTTTGACAAGGCAACATTCCTCTCAGACCAGCCAGAAGCTCATCTTCCTTTCTTGTCACGATTCATTGAATCTCAGATGTTCACGACATTGGTGGACAACAAGATCCTCTCCAACTGGGGCAAGCACGACACGAATCTACGTGTGTTTGATCTACGCATCCGGTTCCTCAGGTGATAATATTTTGGTGTTCTGAATTGTCCTTTTGATATTGATATTGATTTAAAAAATGGGCCTGGGGATATGTTCATTGTGCATCCCTCGCCTGTGGCAGCTTTATTATAATATACACCAATAGTTACTTCTTGTTACAGATTTACATAATATATAATAGTATATCAAGATATACTTTTAAAATTTTCTATAACAATAAAACATGCCCAATTCTTCTTTATTACATAAGAAACAATTATTTGTCAGTGGATAGCTATATTTATTGTAGATTATAATGACAAATATGATTCTTCTCCAGAGACAGATATGATGACAGTTTAGTTCGCACACCATCATATGAGCCATGCACAACAATCAGAGAAACAGAACAAATCTTGGAAAAAAGAATGTCTCACATCGACTACCGAGCTCCTGCCCCTCAGCCCATGGACCCACTGGCAGAGTCATGCACGCAGTTCAACCCAGGGCACTTCCCGCTCTTAGACAGAATAGCTCTCAATAAGGAACCACACAAGTAGGTCTATAGACTCTTAGAGTGAATATATAACCTCTCCTTATCAATGTGGTCAGTGCATCTTTCATCTTTCAGGCTCTATAGTAATTGTAAGTAGCACAGAATGCATTCAATTTCATGTTCTTATTGTTGAATGTTGAATTTATCATTAGATCCTTGTTGTTTTTAGAAATGTAATTATTTTGTTCCTGTTACTGTTAACAAATGGAAGTCCATGTTTGTAATTCAGATCTAAATCAGTACTTATTTCTGTATAGGAGTAAGAAGAGGAGCAGTCATGCCTGGAGGAGACGAGAAAGACAGGAAAGACACCTCGAGCATACTGGCCTATCCAGTGATCAACGTGATAGGATTATGCATGACGCCAAGTCCAAGCTACAACCAAAGTTAGCAGATATGTCACCTGCTCATATGGCTCAAACCAATTGGAATTTTGTCGAACAGTTGTTGAAGGTATAGTTTTCATCTTACGAGTAATGATTTGCTTCCTTTTATCCAACACCTATTGTGAATTAATTTCCTCAAATTATGATGTTAATGAAGGGATATCCTCTATTACTGAGTCAATTATTGTGATCTTTTATATTCAAATATCTGTCATTAATAAGCACTTAATAACAGGAATGCAAGACGAGAACCAAAAGAATGCTAGTGGAAAAGATGGGTTCCGAGGCTGTAGAATTAGGCCACGGAGAAGGAAGTCTTGTGGGTGTGGAAGAAAACACACTCATAGCATCTCTGTGTGACCTCCTAGAGAGGGTTTGGGCTCATGGTCTCCAAAGCAAGCAGGTATGTTGCATTACAGAAGGAAGTACGTATACTATATTGATATTTATATGAATTCAGGTATGTGTAGAGAGAAGTAAAAAGAGTTAGATATTGTTCCATATAGGCCTTCCGCTGTTGTAAGTTTAGACTTAATTCATTTTCCTTTAGAGATTATTTATCATTCCATTACAGTAATAAGTATTGTATTTGGTGCAGTATTCTTGTTTGAACGTATGCACTGCCTGTTATTATTAGATGTAAGATTTTGTCTCAAAAAAGAAGAAAGTTACTAATATGATTATCTTCTTTTTTCTTTTTCTCTCTTTTAGGGCAAATCCGCTCTTTGGTCTCATCTCCTAAACTATCAAGAGCTGGAGGAATGTAATGATTCTACTAAGCCTGTGAATCCAAATTTCCTCTCTCCAGGTTTGTTGAAATTCTTATTAGTGTAACTAGGTAAAGGAAAAGATGAAAAGAATATATATATATATATATATATATATATATATATATATATATATATATATATAATATATATATATATATATATATATATATATATATGCAACAGATTTAGACATGACCAGAATGCAAGATTTGTAATACAGCATATATTATGCTATGTGTACACTTGATTCTAAATGCATTGCTTCAAATGATTTGATTTTAACCAGGTGAATGCACATATAACATACATACATACATACATATATATATATATATATATATATATATATATATAATATATATATATATATATATATATATATATATTATTATATATTATATATGTGTATATGTATATGTATAGTGTGTATACATATATGTATACACTGCACTGGAGTGGCTTTAATAACCCAAGAAAAGCTTAGCTTTAAGAAGGAGAAAAAGAAATTGTAATGAATTTGAAATTACTTATGGAAGCAGCAAGATGTGCCGTTATTTATAAAATCTCTATTGTTGTTGCTATCATCATTATTGACAGCAACATCATCGTCTTTGTTATTATTATTATTATTATTATTGTTATTATTATTATTATTATATTTATGTAATGTTATATATCGTAATTATTAGTCATTATTATTATCTTTTTTTTTATTATTGCAGTTGGTTCAGTTAATAAAGAGGTTCTTGAAAATGTTATCTGATTACATACAATGAACTAAGCCCAAATACCGGGTAACAAGTAGCCAACAAGTAGCCAACCCACACATGATCAAGCTTGTTTTAATTGTGTTCCCTGACCATGATTGTTAAGGAGATATAACCCCTCGAAATAAGTCAGATTAGTTTAGAATATCATGTATGCTGCAGGTGAAAGTGCAAAGATTGGGAAGATACGTGTTTTACCGTGCTTCTTAATATTTCACTCGGGTGGTTGACTGTGCACAAAATCTCATTATAGGGGCTGGGAAAGGAAGTCGTGAATGTTTCAGAAAGGCATAGGCTAATAGAAGCGAACGTACATTCTCAACCGTTTTGTAAAAGAACATATAACGATTTTTATTTTTTGATTCTTTAAAGCGATTTTAAGTATCTGTTCTTATGCTGTTTGCGTGTTTTCTTCGTTTATGTGTTTTAAGTGTTGTATGATTGTGATTTGTGTTGGAATTGATTGTTTTTGCTCATATTGTTTTTTGTCATTGATTATTTTGTGGTTATTGTTGCATTTGTCGGCTCTGTTGTGTTTTTCAATTGTTATTAATTTTGTTTTCATTTTTGTTTTTATCAGCTTTATTGTTTGTATTGCTATTATTATTATTATTATTTTATTATTATTATTATTATTATTATTATTATTATTATTATTATTATTATTATTATTATCATTATCACTGTTATATTTATTATTATTGATATCATTATTTAATTTTGTCACTATTTTATTTTTGTTAATAGCACGTGGTAAGACAACTATGATATTATTTGTTGATGTTACTGACATTTCATTTGCTGTGGTATTTCATTATGTTCAGAATGAACTATTGATATTTCATATTTCTCAGTTATTAATATTTCATTTGTTGTGCTATTTCATTATGTTCAGATCATATTATTTTTAATTATTATACTTTAAAGTGCCATTGTGTGAGGCATTTCAATTATTACATAACTTTATCCTCTAACTTATTACTTTTCGTTTCATTGGTCAGATTACTGGTTTTATAGCCTGTAGATGATTTATTCTGATTTAGTTTTACATCCAAGAGTTTTCACATTTCCTAATGAAATAAGTTATCACAACTGGCTTATTCTAGAATTGCCTCATCTGCATAGTTTTAGATATTTAAGAATTGATATCTTTCATAGTTCATTTATTAAGAAGAAAGTTTCATGGATGATATGTGTTATGTAATTCTTGAATTAATTTTTTTTGTTGTTTTCTTATTTGATGATGTTGCTGAACCACAGAGTCATCATAGCATACTTCCTCAGTTCTGATTTTGAAGATTATATAATCGCAAAATAACAATTTTTTAATCTTCATACATTTTGCTGTGATGAATTGCTGTGTTCAAGGACATACTAGTGATATGATTATGTTTCTATGTATTTTTCTGTATCACCATTAAAGCCTTCGCATCTCATGTTACTAACCATTAACTCTTTGTTGTTCTCCCTTGACTCAAGCAGCTATGGCCTGGTGTATTATCAGGAAGAGAATTGATTGTATGTTTTTTTTAATCTGTGCTTGCTTTATTACTGTATGTCACCTTTGCTCTTACTGGGATAAACGTGCATTCTCGTGGAGATGCACATGTACTCTAGATTTTATTGATTCATTGATTGCTGGATCTGTAGATGAAGTAGCTGCTTTTTTTATCCCCCTCTGTGTTGTGTGTCAGGGACTCTATTCTCGTATGTTGGTCTGTGGCATGTTCGTAGCGAATAGATAGCATGCTGATATTACGTTCCTGATCCTGTAGACAAGGTTGGATGGGCCGTTAAGGAAGTCTCTCCTTCACAGGGTCGTGTATGTACGTGAATTATTTCCATATTTATCCGTTTTCCCTGAGACACATTCTGTTCTTTTCTTCTGATACTGGGGATTTCATATCCTTGATGCATGATATTTTCTCTGTATTGTAGCCAGTATTGTACCCTCTTATAATTTGTAAGACCACTAATTTTACCAGTCCTATGGCAGTACCTCATTTATATAGATATATATGTGTGTGTGTGTGTGTATGTATATGTGTATACATACATACATATACATACATATACATGTACATTTGAGGTACTGTATGCATACAGTCTTAACTGACTTCACATTTTTTCCTCGACTAATCACACCCTTGCCCGTCCTTTGGTATCTTGTCCTGAAAGTAAAATACATTTACTCAACACTCAACTACTTACAGTAGCATTAATCCTAGTTGACTGTCTCTCTGCAAATCTCCACTAACGTAACAAAGGCTGAATGGTGCTTCCCTACTAGTCCTGTGATGAAAATGCTCGCCGTTGTTTTTCAGTTCCCCAAAACTCCGCACCAAAGATTAGCAGTATGTCACCATTGTCGGAGATTCTCTTGTCCATTAAATCTGGTAACATTAGTGGTCTTGGGTCTCTGGCTTCTCAATTAGCAAATAATTTTGGTAAGTGGTTGACATGAATTTGGTAAATGGGTGCCTGCTCATAATAAACTCATTTCTCTTAAGCTTATTAATGTTCTGTTTTAACTAAAGTGAATGAAAGCAGAATTATTTAAAGACACATAGGTTTAAGTGTCTTTATCATAGACCATTTAAATAGGTGTTGTTTTCAGTGATATATAGCTTTATATTGTTTTTTGGTAAACAATATTGCTGTTGTAAATATCACCTATAAATGTATTATTTTAGATTAACATATTGTAATCACAGATATTCATAATTACATATTGAAAATCCTATGTAATTAATGGTCATATTTTGTGGATCATTCATTCCGTTCAGGAGACTGAGTGGCATGAACTTGATATATTCAACTAACAAGTATAAATATACTTTTTGTTACATATTTTTCTCTTTTTTCCTTCAAGTTATACTATTCTTGATATCCAGTATTTTGTGTCCTTTTGCATAAAGTATTGGAGATTTTAAGTTAATTCGACATGGATGACTGTTTAGCTGAAACGTAGCTTCATATTCAGCAACTACAATTTAAATGTTATTCACTATTAGAACATCCATAATATGATTTCTGTAACAGGTACATAATTCTCTCCTTTGTTTTTCCATCTCTTCTTTCTTTGTTTTCCCTCGTCTTTTTTTCTAACAGCGCCTGACATTATTTTCACATCAGATCTCTCAACAATGGCATTAGAAACTGAAAGTGCTCCAGCATCTCCCACCAAATCTCCAAGCAACACTAACAGCCTGAGAAAGAAATCCTTACAAGAAAGATGGCCAAGTGACCGTAGTATAGAGCGGAGGTCAAGACAGTCTGAATCTGGAGTCCCCACTCTACGGCCACTTCCTATTTCCATAACCTTCGACATGCGCAATGTCCTGGCCATGACGGAGATAAAGACACATATAGGGTATGCAAGAGCATGGGTGAGACTCTCCCTCGAGAAGAAAGTTCTTTCCAAAAATCTGACGACTCTGCTGAGTGACTCGGAGCTGCTTCGGAGTCTCTACAAGCGTTATGCATTCTTGCGATGTGATGACGAGAAAGAGCAGTTCCTCTCGTACCTTTTGTCTCTTAATGCAGTAGACTACTTCTGCTTCACAAATACATATACCACAACAAGTGAGTATTCCTTATTTTACAAATAGAATCAACTAGATTTAGGAGAAAAGGTTGCACGACCAACATGCATTGTAAACATGTTATTTCAGCAGTTCTTTTTTAATACTAAAATTATTTGATTATTGATTCTTATATTCATTGTATGATGTTTGGATATGCTGCAAGATTTTTAAAGGAAAAATCCTAATGTACGACTCATCATAATTATACCTATTACAGTTGTGCCATATCGTGTGGTGATCTTCCCATCACGTAAACTGAGTGGTGCCAGCACATCAGCCAATGCTTGGGTTAGCCTTGGAGGAACCCTTGGCCAAACAAACAACATTGCAGTGCCGAAAGGCCAAGTTGAACTCGTCTTTCAGGTAACTGATCAGTAGTATTGCGTAAATATTTATCCAGGGAAAAATATTTTGAATAATTATCATTCAGGTATTTCATATTGTAACTGAGTATAGTATTGATCCTAGTGAAAAGGAAATTATTTCCAACTTTTCATTCCTCAGGTGAAATGCAGAGAATTTATGGAATTGAAGAGGTCTTCTCTTTCTTTAGGATGATCTTAAATTACGTTACATCACTTACTAAAAGAATAATTTCCTTTTGCTCACAGCACAAGAACCTTGGATTGCTAACTACACTTCGGATTGGACATGACAACACTGGGATGTCTCCAAAGTGGATGGTAGAACATGTACTAGTCAGAAATGAAGTCACAGGACATACTTGGAAGTAAGTAATTGCTTTGTCCTGAAACTTTATTTTTTCAAGTGATAAAAAAAAAATTAGTCTAGGAGTCTAAGAAATATTTCCATTAACACGTCTATCTTCATCCTGTACCATAAAGGTTCCCCTGTGGAAGGTGGTTGGGCCGCGGCATTGACGATGGTTCCCTTGAGCGAATCTTAGTGGGAGAGATTGTACCATCCCACGTAACGTCAGATGACCTTGTGGAATCTTGCCGCACTCCTCCACGCTGCAGATCACCTAACATGCCCGGCCCTAGACGGTCGGACCTTAAACTCACTGTGCCAGAGATACAGCAGCATCTAGGTATTTTTTTATTCTGTTTTATCTATGTCTATATGAGTTAAAGTAAGATATTTGAAGTGCAATAAAAACACTTCATTTTGTTGATATTGTATTGGTTTTGATGGTTGGGGATTTTCATTGGATCTTAGTATCTCTTGCAATTGTTTCAAATACATGTGCATATATGGTTTCAAATGTAATTCATTTAAAGAGTGTACTTGTGATCTGGGGTTAAATGGTTTCTCTGTTGTTCTTACAGGTGACTCTGTCAATAATTTAGTAAAGTACTTCTACAAGCCAGAGAAAGAAAGAGGTAGTCTGACATTGTTACTCTGTGGTGATTTTGGCTTGGTGTGTTGCCTAGAACAAGTATTCTCGTATGGTTTTAAGTCTACACGTTTCTTTGGCAAGAATCTCTACCTTTGGGATTATTTTGGTAAGTAGATCATTGAGATTTTTATATTATTCCAAGTTTCTTTTCTGAGAAAAATATAAGAGGCTTTAACAGATAGCAAAAATAGGTAAGCCTCATTAATTTAGGAAAAGTTTGGTGAAATTTGTTTTAAATTTTCCATGAAAGTGATATGGCTAGATCTATACAAGGTTTATTGTTAGATATATATGATATATGTATTTCTTAATAGATATGTTTCTCACATTAAATGATAAACTTATAATTATTTTCTGTGCTAGACTTTTGCAAAACACATTTTACATGGTGATAATTTTCATGTCCACATAACAGAGCGAGTGCAGCAACATTTTGAGGTGATTCTTCGTGAAGACATGGAAAGAGAACAGCTGACTGGCATTGCTCGTGATGGCCGAGACCACGGCCTAGCAAGCATGGATGAATTTGTCTCTCTTGTGTCTCGCATCAATGCTTCTTCATCTCACCTTGGAAAGGATGATAAATTCCAACTTTTTGTTTGCCTTGCTGCAAGGTTAGTGAATTTTTGGCTTCCTGTTCTTGATTTACTTAGTCTTTCTTTATCCATGAGTTGCAACAAGCATACTATTTTTTTATATATTAGATAACAGGAGAAAGGAATTATACAAATTTAGATTGTTTAGCAAAATTATTTGAACATTTATTTGTTGTTTTTCTTGTAATCAGTGCCATTCGTATATAGTATTAGTAAACAGAGTTGAAGGTTCAAATTAAGTAATTTCTTGTCTTTTTTTTCAGAGCACATCTACTGCCAAGAATTTTATTACCTTTGCAACGTTCACCAGTTACGAGTCACATGTACGATGACTCCTCATTCCTCAGAGATCCTCAATTAGTCCGAGATCTTATTAATGTCTTGTCTGCTCTCAATGAGTTCAACATTGTGTTGGAAAGATCACTAACAAGAGGAATAGATTAGACGACTGCAATTGTTCAGAATTTCCCAAAGGGAGATTAGTGCCATTGTATTCCAAGCTGTCCAGCATTTAGGTCCTTGCATGACTGAATGCAAGAAGAAAAGTAGATAAGAGGACTTGTCAATTTGTGTAAAAGTAGGGTGTTAAGGAACAAATGCAGCAAACGGGTGACTTGTGAACAGGATGAGAATCAAGAAAACTTATGAAGATTGTATAATTTTGATAATAGAGTGTGTATAGAAAAGGATGGACTTTTGTAAGGAAGAAAAAGATAGTTATTATCACTTGATGATATGTGATCCCTTTTGTTTTTAAGCAATAGTTTATTAGTCATAGTTCCATTGTCCAGCCTGCTATATACACATGCATGAACTTGTGAACTTGGAGTGTGGACGATACATTGATGGAGCTTCTATCAAAATTATGAGTTTTCTATGTAACTCATTTGACCTTCGAACAAGCAAGCAATACTCAGAAGTTATTTAAAATGTATTCTAGATCATTATAGGCAAAATTATATAGTATTAATCGCCTCTAAGTTTGCTATTTTTAAAGGAAATGTCATAGACGCACATATTTTTTTAACAGTTACAAAAATGTAGGACTAAGGATGTTAGATGTGCATCATTATTTTTACCATCTTGAGGGTACAGTACGGATTGCATAGTGAATGTTTATTTCTCTCGTAATAAAGTCAGTGTTCGGTGTAGAGCAAATTTCTTGCTTTTTATTTTTTTTAAGGAGAAATATTAAGAGTTCATTTTATTTTTAATGATGTTTAATAATACTCTCATCTAAATGTTAAGTTATTGGATATAACGAGATATTGCTATAGAAGCTGTTGATAGTAATTTTATTATTTTTTAATGGAATTTTATCACATTACATCTGATATTGACACTACAATGTAGTTTTATTTTAAATCTCATTCGCCACTTTGAGAAATATCCATATGAAGTGTTTATGGAAAAAAGACCATCATTGGAAAAATTTGACAAGACAAAATTAAACTGGTGTTACAATAGAGTATTTGGTTCAGTACATGCATTCCAAACCACTCTTTAGGTTTAAATGTGTACTGGAGAGTTTTTAAGTAAGGGTTTTGTTTTGAGATGTGTCAGATAGCCAAAAATGGTTTTAAGGAGGAGGAAATCAAGTCAGAACCGTTTTTAAACTTTTCGCATTAGGTTACTTATAACCGTAGATGCATACTTGTATGTAAGTGGTATCTTCACCCTAATCTTGGATAGGGTGTGCAGTCCTTTTAGATTTGTCATGTAGCTTCATTTTTATTAGTATGTATATTTTACTTAGTGAGATTTATAAACCAAAGTTGCTGATTTTGTGATAAGATTTAATTTTTCCTTTTTTTCTTGCATGTGCTGAATTGTTTTTAGGCATTTGTTTTAATTTTATGTCAGCAGTTACTATTCTCTTCTTTTTTTATTATTGTAACTGTATTATAAGATGACTGTACCTTTGTTATGGTGAACGGTTGTCACAGCATGATGTACTAAATATATTCATATATTTTAATGTAAGTTATTTGTTAATCTAGAATTGTGAGGTAGATGGTGAGTTGTGACAGTAATTACGAGCAAATATGAGTCGCATATTCAGTAATCCAGTTGAATCTTGTGTTTGCAGACCTCTTAGCAGTGTTCTGACTGGATGTTGGAGTGCCATACTAATTAGCTAAAAAATCTCTGCGTATCCCTGAAGCTGTGATACCCGGCGTGTTCATAATCATGTCGCAAGACTTGCAAAATTTACCTTTTCATGGATTTTTACTTTGTTAACTACCTACCAAAGATGGGATGCAAACTTTGAATTTTGTGATTATGAATACAGCCATTGTCAGTGCCTGCACCGTGACCTCTCTCCAGGTCGCGAAAGTTGCCTGACATTACTCAACTGTTTATTCGAGTACAAAAGTGGTACTCTTGCAGTAATACTGACTGTATTGCAATTGTCATTGGCTACCCAGACTTAATGTAAGTTTGTGTGTACAGAAAGGTTAAGTCACAATTTGTATCTTATGATTTTAAAGCAAGGCAATATTAATTTTGTACTTATAGTACAATGTGTTACACTTGTTAAAAAGTGTGTTGATATACTTAAAACAGGAATTTGCTATAGATGTCATTAGAAGACAGTTTATCCTATTTATGTTATGAGGTTGAAATTATAGCAAAGCCAATGCTCAACTGTCCAGTAATGACAGTGTGAATGTGTATATACATGTGCTGCATGAAGTGGAAATCTTAAAGAAGTAAAGTCATAAATATAGTTTATTGTTTTTTATTTACCATTTAATACAGTATTTATGTAATAATTTAATACATCATTTGTGTAAAACTTATGGGAAATTAATGGCCATGCCCCTATTTGTGCTCCTGTTGAAAATAGATATTAGAATTCTGTTTATGAGAGCCAACAGTAAAGGGCTTTTCAGTGTATGAACTGCAGAATGCCTGCCTTGCATAAGTGTGGTTTTGGTTGTGTTACTAGGAACCCAGTCTTTTTGTAAACTGATCATATAAATTATGAAGATGCAATGTTTAAAAATGTGGGTGTGGCACATGGTAACATTGCTGTAAAGAGGCATATAGCATTTCAACACTGATGAGTTGTGTACAACAGTTTATAAGTGAAACTGCTCACATAATCAAAAGGAATTAGTGGATAGAAACCATGAGAAAGTAAAAAGTTCAAAAACCTTTGTTTTTAAACTTCAATTTAAAAGTTAAATACAAATGCATAAATATGAATATAAGAACAAATTCAACAATTATATACACCTTACATTTTAGAAAATAACAGAAAATATATACATTCATTCTAAACAACAACAAAAAACACTTATCTATATAAATAACAGGCTTTAACAGAAAAAGGATGACAGTGATAGATGAAAAATGATGAGACATTCTGACATACAGCAAAATTTTCAAGAATATGAAGAACACTGAAAGATAATAAAGGTGCTACTACTACAGGTTTATAGCAAAACAGATTCTGCTTCATATCCTGATATATACAAATACAGGAATACAAAAGATTCATTAATATGCACTGGTATCCTTTACCAGATCTTAGTTGGCTTAGGTGGTTGATAATGTATATTTGCTGCCTGGGCTGTTTGTGGTCCTTCATATGTAATTATGGGCACAAAGCCATTCTTGTGATCAGCTGTGTATTTTACCACTTGAACACGTCCATCAGGGAGCTGAACGCGATATTCTCCATGAACCTGTATGCAGAAAATATAAGTTAACTGGCAATGGATGGTCGATAGATACAGCATTTCCTAACTGCAATGGAATATTAACTGCTCTAACAAGACAAATTCATGCTAGCTAACACACATGCTAAATTTCAATGCAGGAATTGTACATGAGACAGACCAACCAACCTTAAGCATCGTCTAATCAGCTGTGATTAAGTTCTCCAGGCTACAGGACAAATGATAATACAACCAACTTCAAACAGCTTGGGTTCATGTGAAATTTTTAATGAATCACTCAGCAAGCCTGTTGTCTAGAAGGTATACCAGCAGACATAACACTGGTACACATTATTTAGATCCATGTCATTCACATTTAAGGGTCAGTTGCATAGTATTTCAGTGTCAAAGGGGTGAAAAAGGAACACTTGAAAAAACAAAATTATTATTAAAACCATAATTTGATCAATGCCCACAGAAATGCCAACTCTGCTGGGAAGCTTTCATCATAAAAATATTGTGACAAAATCATAACAGCATACAAAAAATATATTTCTGGGTAATTTGGATGATTCTTGTTTTGTGATTTTGGAACATTACATCACCATTTTCATTTACAATTAAACATATTTTACTCAAGTAATAAGGACCTATGCTAGAATTTTGCATAATTTAAATTGTAAGACTTATATTACCAGTGTTATCTGCTGGCATTAATATCCTGGAACTTACAACTGGACCTTATTTAAGCGAAAGAAGAAAAAGAAGTAAAAGAAGAAGAAGAAGGAAAGAAAAGAAAAAAACAGATGGTATACTTACAGTGTCACCATCACTGCTCTCCTGGTGTCTGTAGTTAGTGCCATGATAGACAGAACCAACACCGTAGTGGTAGTTGTAACTCTTTCCCTGTTAGAATTAGTACAGACATTAATATTCATATACATATAATATGCTTAGCCATACTGGAATCAAGGTACAGTGATGGACAAATGTCATGTCAAGAACTGAAGGCCCGTATCTGTCTTACCCTTTACAAAAAGTGTGGTATTAAGTTGATGTTCGAAAATGAATTCGAAATAGGTTTGACAAGACTTTTGACCAAGTACAACCATCCGTCAGCCGGGTATATTTTTTGTACGCCAGTGGACAGTTCATGCCTAATAGCGTTGAATCTCTTACGCTATCTGGATTTACACAAACTATTTTATTTTCATAATTAATTTAAGTTGTTACAAATACAAGTCAAGTTACTACGTAGTGTTGTAAGATACATGTTTTTTCATAAGCCGGTTGGTCAAATATTGAAACTGGAACCTTTTGACTATACACTAACTATACGTATATAAGAACGATAAGGAAACTTGCATTAAGTCATAAACTTATATTACGTGCAGAGCTATTTTCAAAATTTGTGTCTGATACTGTATTTTGTTGTTATTCATGCAAAATATCAACCTCATCTTAATGAAATGGTTCCACTAGAAGAAAATTTCATGCTCATAATTAAGACACCAATCGCGTAACTTTTAGTGGTGGATATTAGGCCACTGGAGCTTAAACTATGTGGTTTCTAACTATAAGTAACCTATACCGATACTTTTTGCTCCTTTTCTTTTCTTCCTATTTAACTTTTAAATTTGGTTATTCCAGCTTGTTGTTCGCCAGTGTAGGGTACGCCAGCACCTGGTAATATGGGAAATTTCAGGCTCTGTATACGGTTGCGTTCGGAAAAAGCCAGGGCGGACCCCCTCTGATTCCAGTATGGATTTTTAGGTCTTATAAATAAGGACACAAAGAAAAAGTATAATTTCAGGCATTTATATCAGCTTTGTTGATGAAAATGCCTTCAGTGTGTGTGTGTGTGTGTGTGTAATGCATTTTACCAATTTCATACCAATTTCCAACGATTCCATAAACTTACCTTGTTTTTGTAGGGCGCTTCTGTAGTCACAGTCTTCAAGTAATCTTTTGACGGCGTGGCACCGTAGCTCTTATACTTCGCCGGCGCGGGTGTATTGTAACTGTAAACCGCAGGTGTGACAACCTTGAAGGGTCGTGGTGTAGCTCTCTTATAAGTGGAATACGTCGGAGGTTTATACTGAGGGACTGGCGCGGGTTTGTATGGCTTTTGAGTCGTCACTTTATAGGACTCGACGGTCGGGTAAGTGAAGGGCTTATAGGTCGTCGTAATTTTCCTGTGCTTGTACGGGGGTATCGTCGACTCCTTGTAGAGCGGAGCGGGAGTAGGGTAGGCGTTGGGGGCCTCGTAGTCCTGGATGAAATAGGCGCTGGGTTTGAAGGCGCTGTCCGACTGCATGTGCGGGCTCGGTCGGAAGGAGTGGGGCGAGTAGATGGACTGGGCCGCCTCGTAGTCGTGGTTAGGAGAGGGCACAGGCTGGAGCTGGATGTACTGGGAAGGGGCGTGATAGCCGTGCACGCGGTTGAGCTGGGCCAGCGTCGTGGTGGGCGTGTTCGGCGACGGTAGAGGGAGGTTGTAGTTCTTCGCGAAGCCTGAGCTGCTGGCGGTCGCGATCGGAGAGGGAGTCGGAGGCGCTCGGAGGCCGTAGATCGGGGCATCAAGGCTCCTCGGGATTTTGAACCCATACCGACGACGGTTATTCACCAGGAAGAGGTGGTCGTCGACGCCGCCGCCGCCGCCTCCTCTCGTGCCAGTGAGAGGAAGACCGCCAGCGTCGTAGGTCCTCGGTCCGTACGCCGAAATCAGACCGCTGCTGTCGACGTCGAACCTCTCGTTTCGTATCAACGTGTCGTGAAAGCTGCCAGATTGGGCATTGTCGACTGGGTGCGATGGGCGGTTCTGGCCCGGGAAGAGCCAGGTGGCGGTTGTGGAGCTCAGGAGACACAGGAGCAGGAACGCACACTCCACCTGCAGAGAGACATACGATTCAATTTGGGCACAGGATAGAGGTACGGCAGCCGTATTCGTTTATCCATATTCTAGTTACGGGTTCAGTGCTCATGTGCATAATCTGGTCACTTTGACAATTACATTTGATGAGGCCTTTTCCCATTTCCAACCTACCATAACCTAACCTAACCAACCAAACCTAACCTAACCACCTAACTTAACCAAACCAACCTAACTTAAGCTAAACTAACCACCTAACCCAATCTAATCACCTAACCTAACTTAACCTAACCAACCAAACCTACCCTAACCACTTAACCTAACCTAACGGCGTTATTCGCGTCGGCCGCCATTTTCGTAGAATGCGAAACCGGAACTCAAACACACAGGCGCATGTTCAAAAGGCACTGCCGTAGCACCAGCTCAGTTGGTGCTCATTACGGCTGCCGTAACAATAGACAGTGCGTTGAAATTTGATAAGTTTAATAACCTGCAGTCTTTTTACGTGCCAGCAAGCAAAAGGGAGAGTTTATGCTAATGGCGCATGGTGAGCTTCCGGACTAAAATGTTTTTTTAACGACCGTTTTGTCGAAAACCATGGAACATATTTTCACATTTTGTCCAACACAAATGTTTAAAATTACTCTTCGCAGATGCAGTTATGGACTTCAGAGCTGATATCTGCACATTTAGTTCTGGTCTCAAATATTTTTAAAAAATACACCAGGATATTTTTTTTTCCTGATTTGAGGAATAAAACCTACCTTTAGTCATAACAGACGCTGAGCATGATTAATACTTTTGATAATACTTATGAAAAAGATACTCCATGCACCTGATGAGTGTCAGCCAAATACTGAAATTGTCAAAAAAAGAAAGAGGCCACACATTTTTTATCTAGATTTATGGCGTCCAGGCTGTGATCTAGAATATAAAATCATTTACGAATAACATCGACAAAAGAAAGAAAAACTCAAAAGTTTGTTGCGAAATTGTATGCGAAAGCAGTTTAACCAGTGATCTGCTGGCTAAAGAAAAAACTATGATAGGTGTAGGAAATCATTTAAAACTTTTTGAATTCTGAGTTCTGAAGTCGTGGTGATGGAAACAAATGGATTTAGAATTAAATATATGATGGTCCTTAATATTATGACGACCGCACCCCCCAAACGGAAAATGTGTGCGAATGCGTGCACACACACACACACACACACACACACACACACACACACACACACACACACACACACACACACACACACACATTCACACGCTCACACAACTTACACACATTTGGCCATAAAAAGGCAAAACGCACGCCTTTAAAGTAACTCAAGCCGGCAAGGTAAAACACTAAATGCATAATCAACAGTCACATATTATTAAGAACGGTAATATTTTTGTGGTTTCTGCGGGTAACACTGATTTCTTATGCAGTAGCCAGGGGAGTGAAAGCCTCCTGCCATCTGTTGGCAGATACGACAACCACGCATCTGCCTCTGACGGAAGAAAAGGAAAGAAATATGTATTGACAGTGACTGTGAAAGCTGGAATAAAATTTTGTAACAATAATAATAATGATGATGATGGGTATAATCAGAACAGTAGTAGAGGTAGTATTTATAACAGTAGTATCGGTAGTAATAGTAGTAACATTTTAATAGTAATAATAATGATGATGTCCATGATAATGATAATGATTACAATGATAATAAGTACTACCATTATTATTATTATCATTATCATTATTATTATTATTGTCATTGTTATTGTCATTATTTTAGTAGTTGTAGTGATATAATCTTAATCAAAATTATATATGATAATAATTATGATGAATATTATATCAATAATAATGCGATGTGAAGTCCCCTTTTATCTTTTGTTGGAACAAGAAGTCACCTTTCATGTTTTCTATATGTATACGGGATGTGTGTGTGTGTGTATATACACATATATATGTGAATATGTATGTACATATATACATGTGTGTGATGTGGTGTGTGTATGTGTATATATATATATATATATATATATATATATATATATATATATATATATATATATATATATATATATATATATATATATATATATATATATATATATATATATAGAGAGAGAGAGAGAGAGAGAGAGAGAGAGAGAGAGAGAGAGAGAGAGAAAGAGAGAGAGAGCAAGCGCGTGAGTCAAAGAAATAATCTATTTTCGCGATGTTTCGAGGCTTCAGGAGATTCGAGCACGCTCATTCGAGCTGACACAACAACACAGGTCCCTGAAGTACTCGACATGACGCACTGAGGTTTACTTAACTCGCTCGGTGACAAATCCACGACCTCTCTATGACGTGTAAAGGTAAGCCATTACTTTTTTGTCTTTTTTCTTTCTTTTTTGTTGTTGTTGCTGTTGTTGAATATCCTCTGATATTGATTTTATTAAAAGGCGTTTACAGGGTTCGCGTTATTGGGTTCGCGTACCTTTTCGGTCGACAAATTGTGTTCGAGTTATAAATGTGCAATTGATATTCGTCATAGTAGCAGAAAAATGGAATAGAAAAACAGCGATAATGGTGACAATGTTGATATTCAGTCACTGAGTGATACTTCAAGAACAGTTTTCATTATCATTACTGCGGCTTGCTATGTGATTAGCCACATTGATAATAACAATACCAATATATTTTTTCCTTTTTTTTTTTTCTTCTTCCAGTAAGCGGCGAAGGAAATATTTTGAAATCTGAATGACAATGATTATACTGAGAAGTGTAACGTTAAATTGAATGAAGCTATAATGATAATAACAGTGATAATTTGTAGTGACAGTGATTATGATTAAAATAACGATAATAACAATAATATCAATAGCACTAGTAGCAGTAATAAGATAATGATAAAAATTATAATGATAAATACAATAATAATAATGATTAAGATTATGATGATAAAGACAATAATAATTATGATAATTTACAAAGTGATAATAATGATAATGGTAACAATATTGCTGATAATAATGATAATCGTAATATTAATTTAATCATAATGATAATATAATGATAATGATAGTAATAATGAGAAAAATCATGACAATGATAATGAATAATTAATAATAGGCCTACCAAAAAACAAAAAACTCATCTGGCGACATAAAGCACCAATTCCCATTTTCTTCGGTAGAAGTGGCGGCGCAGTCAACAAAGAAAACGGCGAGAGGTATGCGGATAAACCAATTTTCGGAAAAAGGTAATGAGTTGTTTTCATTCGCTTGTGTTTAGCTGATCAAAAAGATTTTTTTTTATATATATAATTTCTTCCTTCAGGCGTCGGTCCTTCGCTCATGAATAGTATTGTGTCTGAGGTGGAATAAAGTCGGTAAGTTCTTGAAGAATGCTTGTTGGATTGCATTCTTAAGTAAGGTCTATATAAGTACTTATATAGACTTGTTCTTAAGTACACAGAGACACATGCACGTAAGCAAGCAAGCAAGCACTCACTCACTCACACACTCAGTCAGTCAGTCAGTCAGTCACTCACTCACTCACTCACTCACTCACTCACTCACTCACTCACTCACTCACTCACTCACACACACACACACACACACACACACACACACACACACACACACACACACACACACACACACACACACACACACACACACACACTGCATTTAAAAGAATAGCGATAATTTTCCACAGTAACAATAGCTGATGTGATGAATTAATATTAAACGCAAAAACAATAAGAATAACAGAACAAATGAAAAATTAATTAAATGTGTATTTCGAAAAAAAGTATGACGAAAAATAGTAACAAATTGAAAGAAAAAGATAGAGGTTTTGAACAAGTGGAGGAACGTGACTTGGAACCCACTAAACCCATATAATTATGAATGTGAAGCACCTAAGGTATATTCCAAGTCTGAAAACAACGTATGGTAGAGCTAGTCATTAAATAAAGTAGTAAGAACATTGAAGTTTCTTTTTTAACGTATTAGGAAGTTTTAAACATGCTTTTGTTGCGAATGGCATCTCAATGTATATCTGAATCACAACGGTCACATTTTAACGAATTAATGTTAGATATTTATCATCTAATGCTTAAACGTTAGCTTTAACCAATCTCATGTTAGTGTAGCAGAATATATTTATCTATTAATTAATAAATGTATTATTGTTTTTATTATTACTATTATTATTATTATGGTTATTATTGTTATTATTATTTGATGGACGTGTGCTACAAAGCATACTGACATGACATACTGATACCTAAGCCTTGGTGTTAGTATAGGAAATAAACACAAAATGCACCAAGCCATAGCAGTGGTTATGCATGCACTTGCTACAAGACAATGATGTTGCAAGCACCTGCAGTTGCTTAGCAGAATGCACCTCTTGCGTGTGGAGGTCGGTAGAATGCCCTCTTGTGGGTCACTTCATAATGAGTTAACAGTGGAGAAATGTACTTATAACACACTGGAAGACGTAATACATTGGGAATATTGAAAGACCAGTGTGTGTGTGTGTCTGTGTTTATGTGTGTGTGTGTGTGTGTGTATATATATATATATATATATATATATATATATATATATATATATATATATATATATATCGTTATATTTATATATATGTATTATACATGTATATGGATATACATACACACACATAATATATATATATATTTATAGTATAGTTATAGTTATATTTATATTTATACATGCATACACACACACACACACACACACACACACACACACACCACACACACACACACACACACACACACACACACAACACACACACACACACACACACACACACAACACACACACTAACACACACACTCTGTATATGTACGCATTTGTCTAACATATATCCAGTGGCGATCATTTACGATCCACAGTAACAAGCAACGCACGCCCACACAAATCGATTTACTTGTACCGCCGATTGCTAATTCCCTGGAAACTACAACGTTTTATGTCAACACTCGCCTTCATGGCTGCTTCGTGTGGCCTCGTCTACTCTTTAGTGAAAACTGACCGCCGACGAGAATTTCACCTGTATATATACTCTCGGTCGACCACGTGGTGCCAGCGATATATCGGAAATATTTATATGTGTTTTTAGTGAGAATGGCAGCAAAGGGGCTATTGTTTCTGTATTAATTTTATCGTTTTTATTTGACGGAAAAAAGTCTTAAGTAGCGGGTGCCAAGCACAATTTTTAAAAAGTTTGTTATACTACAAGAGAATGCCTGAAAGTGCATACAGTTTTAACCTTAAATAGAATTGTGACATCAAGAAAAAACAGCGAGAAAGTTTTTTTTATGACCCCCCTTACTTT